CTGCAAATAAATAATAAAAATTTTCATAGAAATCATCTTCATGGAAATGTTTGTATTATTTATTTTACCTAAAGTGAAGAGTATAATGTATTCAATTGATGCAACTGTAATATAGTTTTTTTATTATATCGAAAGATTAATCGAAGTTTGTTTGTGCCAAAACACAATCGATTTCATCTTTTACTTAATATCTGTCTCATAGGCAGCGTTGAACGCAAATATCGATGATATTTATTGATCTCAAATGTCAAACTAAAAAAACTCGTTTCCACCCTTATTGTTTTTTTATTACTCTATATTTTACACATTCTCCCTCTTTACTTTCAAGTAACAAAGCGCAATTATTTAGTTTTATACCTATCATTGCGAATCAGATTACATTTAAAAAGTTTTAATAATATTTTTTATAAGGTACTTTATGAATACGATTTTTTGTCTCGAGTATTATTAAAAATTAAAAATTTAAATTCTTCTCTGCGTTTGAAACCAACGATCTTCGTCTCGATGCTGTTTAAAATTGCGTCCCATATTTATTAAATATAAATTTTATATAACTATGGATTTTTGTTTATAATAACGAGAAATTTGACTCGTTCATTTGTCCATCCACGATTCGAGATGTCGGCACTCCCTTCGTCATTCTATCATTAAAATTTGAAACCTAACGTACGTATATTTTATGTTTAATATTTAAAAATTATTTGAACTATGTACACATTTATTCTAATAGTTTGTTAGTTTATTTATCTATTACTTTGACTTATTAAAAGCTTCCGTCCTTGTCCACAGGACGCGATCAACGCCAAGGAAAAACGTGAATAAAGTTTCGCACCTACACTTCAAAAAAATAGAAAAAAATCGCGAGAACGAGTGATATTAAATTTGACCACTGCTTTCGCATGGAACTCGCTTTCAATCGGATTGTAAATTCATTTTTGAACGTGACCTGAACTAGAAACGATGTTGGCTTAATTTCTGTCTATTGGCCTCAATCTTTGGATTATTATTAAAATATTTTCGTTGCGCTCTGGTCGGCATCGTTTTCACATTTGCATTTGGGTTCGTGTAGTCCTTTGTTTTCATTCACCACTCCTGAGAACAATCACAGTCGATGGATTTCCAGTTGTATTTGTATAAATATAAAATTATTGTAGCATCATCATGACATGTACAAAAAAATTTGGATGCCTAATTTTTTACGCATCTACGCTAAAGCGTCCATGTGATGTTGATTTTTAGCATCGAATCGTCTGTAAGAATATTTTACCAGCATTTTTACAAAGCGTAAATAATTTTTTGCTAGTGTTATACTCTTATTCAGTTAAGAAAACGTGATCAAAAATTTTATTATTTAGTTTTGTTTATTTATTTTTTTATTATTATGTATTTTTTTTTGTAACAATATTTCTATTCAATAATAACATGAATTTTAATCTTTACAATAAAAAAAAGAATACGTGAAAAACAGTGAAATTAAATCGTTTGGTTAATTGCACAAAAAATTTTCACGTCAGCGAAAATTAATGGTACATCATCAATAGAGAAAAGTATAAAATTTTGAATAATTATTAAAATATATTGTAACGTTTTCCGTAAAATGAATGAATTAAAAAAATACCATCTTGTAATGTAATTAGACTGACAATAGATTTAGTTTTAAATATTTAAATATTATATTCGTAACCTCTACACGTAAAACCCTACAGAGATGAGAAAAATGTCTCTAGATTAGAGTATAAGTATCACTAAAAAAAAAAAAAAAATATTGAGCCAAAATTAATCGTGAAACAATTTTTTATATTATAAAAAAAAACAACTCGCGCGAGCGAACTAGATGAGAACAAGCGATCACAGTAACATCCGAAAATCCACCGACGAAAGTCTCAATCGTCGCACCAAAAAATCCCACTCTCATCATCATCATCAACAACAGCAACAGTAACAATAACAGCACCCCTTTCATCATCATCAACAATAACAACAACAACAACAACAACAACAACGCACGGCCAAAAGGTCGGCTCGGGGGTACGAGCGAGACTGGCAGGTTGAATCGCTTGGGATGCATTGAAGGTACAAGGTGCAATAGCCCAACAGTAGGTGTGAAAATCATCGCTTATCATTGTATCTCGCAAAAAGCGACCTTTTGGGTGGGATCCTTGTTCTGGTCCTGCTCGGTGGACTGTCCCGGCTGGGGCTGTGCGCTCTGGCCGGCGATTGCCGCTATCGCTGTCTCGCTTTTGGGGCTGCCCGCTAGTGAACCCCCACGGCTGCCGTGGGGGTTGAGCGATTGTCATCTGAGCTGGAGGGTCGAGATCATCGGTGGACGTATTGGCTTGTTCAGTAGGATACGCTCGATTTCCGTCATCGTGGCGACCGTCAGCCTCGGGATCAGCTGTAACACCGTTCGGGGAATTTTCAATGGTTCGACAAACTTTTTGGCAGCTTATTTATTGTAAGCTAATTACTTTATGGGCCATTTTTTTAACCATTGGAATATTTTTACACCCCAACGTGTAATATTTGTGACGTTTCATCGCGATCTTTCTTGCTAATCTAGGGAGCTGGTGGTCTTTAAATCCTAAATTATTGAGAATTCAGTCAAAATGTAATTTAATTTCCTTTTTTTTTTGTTGTATGAATTTAATTTCTTTAAAATTACTACATGCTAGCGTAATATTCAAATTACATTTTTCAACCCGTCTTTTTTTATTTAAAAAAAGTTCTCTCAGAGTTTTATACGTCAAACGTATTTATTATCGTATTGCTGCGGTACGAAAACTTTTTATAAATGCTTTTAATATGCTTTCGTTACAGGAGACCAATAAAACTATCGTCATTAAAGCCCACTGTCACTGTAGTTTTATTAAGAATATATTTAAAGTAGTTTAACCGTCGAAAGTTTAATTTTTAATCGTTTGAAAAAATGAACAAACTGACCTGCAAGCTCTGAATATTGTCGTAGAGTTGCTCGACGTTGGTCGCACCGAGTAGAAGGCACTGAACACTTTCATTCTTGAGGGTCCACGCGATCGCCAGTTGGGTGAAGGTGCAGCCGAGCCTCTCGGCGAACGCGCATATCTCGCGCACCTTGTCCGGGCCTTTTCTAGTTTCAGAGTCAACCGAGGCCTTTCGCCACTGCTCCTATGTTGGAGAAGAAAAAAAAAAAAAAAAAAAAAAAAAGGAAACGGTTACACGCGTGCTTTTTTTTTCTCACATAGAATCAATGATTTTGTAATGATATTGCATTGTGTATAATAAATCAATTTATGCGAGCGACACACGTATAATGATTGATATTTGTATGTCTGGAAGAAATGCGTCTAATCGCTATTGTACGTAATGTATCACAGTGTAATTGTGACATGTGTGAGTGTATATATTACAGTATATAGTTGTACCGATCGTCCAATGGTTGTTCAATACTTTATGATGAATTTTTATTTTCTTTACATTCTAATTCTTCGATTTTTATGTTTTATTGATTTTTTTTTTTTTTTCTTTCTAACAAATCTAGCGTGCAACTAATAATTCACATTTCATAAGGTGGCTACGGTAAGGTTTTTTATCACTAACTATTGCTCTACTATTGAAATATGCAACACTACATTTTAAAAGAGCACTTAAGTGTACTTGGCAAATATTCATGACTAGATAGATTTCTCCCAACACTAAAGTTCCAACACCCAAACGCATTCAACGAAAAAAATAACTTTTAAAAATGTTTATGGGTTGATTCATTTTTTTTTTTTTTTTTTTTTTTTTTTTCTAAACATCGATCACAAACGAGATTAGACAAACCTCTTTACACAAAATCTCAGACTCGTCCTCCGTCCAACTGAAGGACTTATTCTAAAAAGAAAACGAATAATTTTTGTAGCCATTTTATTAAAGAAAAACATCAATTTAAAAATAATAATTCGTTTTATCTACTGAAGCATCAGCCTAACAGGTATAATAAAAATGTCTTTTCATTCCGTTTCAATAAGATGAACAACGACAACAAATAACAATTGCTCTATTGTACGTATAATATGTATATATT